CACAAGTGAACAGAAAGAAAGAAGAGTAGAGTACTCAATAAAACAATTGAAGAACATTAAATCCGGTTTAAAGATTGCCTTTTAAGGATCCATAGATTTACTTAGATTGAAAAGACAACTTACACCATGTAGAAGTATGCTTGTTTTTCGATCAAAGTTGCTCCATTCATCATATAAATGAGGAAATGGGATTTTGCGAGAGGCAAGGCAAAAAGAAATGTGCGCACTTGTCATCTCATTCACTTGTCAAGATTATTTGCGACTATTATTAAATAAAGGAGCATATTTGTGCGGAGACGAACACTACCTTGCTGTCCTGATACCGTTCCCCTTTCCAAACATCTGTAGTATTAACAACAGCCCACGAAACGGAAGAGGTTAAAAGTGCGAGTAAATTTTCTCTAAAATAAAGGGTAGCTGTTTTTCAGATCATAGTTGGTTGGGAAGAGCTTACAAGAGATTTACATGGAAAATGAGTCGTTTATTTCTCTCAGAGAAAGAATGTGTAATCATCCAAATAGATCTTAGCTAAACTAACGCTAAAAAGAAAATGTAATTATATGGATTTCAAAACAGCAGTCTGCTTTGAAAAAGGCATTCCTTAGTACATAGTAAAAACGGAATTTCTCGCTGCTAATGCGGTTTTAAATTATTCAACAATACTAACAGCTTGTTAAAATCTCGCCAGCTACCAGATGACTCACCAGTTAGACATATAGACATATAGACATACAATCACACACCAAATCAACCATTTCGGTGACGTCAGAGGTAATGTGCGTATTCGGTGGCTGATTGCGCGTGAGATACTGTAGCGTGCGCCGTATATGCACAGTAATTCAGCATTTTGAAATATGAAGGGAGAGGGCGCTGACGACGTGCGGAAGATGACAAATACTATTCCATTGTCTAATTCCTCCTCATAAGTGTCATATATCGCCCCAATTTCGTCATGGCTAAGAATCCGCCGTTGTCTTTCGTCGTGGTCCCACAATGCCAGGAGGAATAGACAAATAAGCACGCTGGGTCTCTCGATCTACCGTATTTCCTTCTGCATCCCATCGGTAGAGAGAAGCAGATTTTGCCACCCAAGTTGAGGCGCGTACTTTTTCCGTGTTATGTATATACTGTTTTAATCTTTGCAATTCGCCATATACATGTGCTCACATGCACATATTACCATACAAAGTCGGAGCTTTATGCGTAGATAAAAGCTAGGAATATTAATAGTCTTTTAAACGTTGAAATTAGACGTAGCCCATTCTGTATCTGCATGATATCATCGCGTTATCAATAAAAGGCCAGGGTTAGAATGTATTAATCTCCCTGTCGAAATCGGGTACGCCTTTACAATAGAAAATCAGCATTCTATCTTAGATGGGGAGCTCATTTTCTTTCTTTCTTTCCTCTTTCTTTTCTTTCATTGTGAAAGCGCACCCGATTTCGAAAGGGAGATTGATACATTTTACCCCAGGTATGAGCAACATCCCGTTCTTTGAAAGTGTCACCGATATTTCCCACTGTTTTTAATTCATATTTCCGAATGATGTGTATCGGTGTTCACTGCATTGCTACTAGTTGTCATGATATAATTCAATTCGTTGAAAGTATGTCAACTGTCCTTTCTTGAAAAGACTTACTATCATTTCTGTCTAGAAAACTACTTTTCACTTGATTTGGAAGATCCGCGTTGTCAAAAGCATCTCCCACATGTTTCAATCTGTTGCTAATTTTTATCTTATAACTCTAATTTTCCAACACTAGATTTTACTATGATATTTAAAATCCAGTACTAATAACAGTTTGATTACTAATGTACGAATTCATAGAATGCGAACGTTCATCTTGCTGTGCCTCGTGCCCTCGTGCTACTGCCCTCTCGGAATTTTCGGCAGTATGCAATCAGTCGGAGTAATGGGCACTCTGACATGCCAAGGCGGTCGTCCACGTAGAACGATATTGCGGTTGTACGAGTTGGAAATTTGTGGGATCAAAACTACGAAAAGTAGCACCACTATTCAAACTAATCGTTACAGTGTTTCATAGGAAGCTGGCTGAAACTAAACCGGATTTTTTTGGAAAGTTCAAGATATCGGGTAGTGCTAGAGAGGTGTCAAAAATTGATCCACGGCTAAGCATCTATCACAGATGCCGCTATATAGGGGTAAAGTCTTATTGTGTTTTACTTTAATGTATATTTTCAGGTTAGCACACTGGCAAAAGATAGGTAACTCTTTGAGACGAGCTGTTGATTATGATCATTGTTCTTGATTATCATTCCTGTTCTCAGAAACTATTATTTAAGCCTTGCTACAAGAGGATCAGAATAGAGATTCCATCAGAATACATTGCGAGCGGCAAGGTTGTGAAAAAATATTTCGACATCGGCAAGTTAGAACTTACGAGGAAGCCGAAGGAACAAAGAATTGATTGCATATAATTGGAGTTAGCTGAAATAAATTAAATTCTCTTCTACTTACCATAGCTTTCTCATACCTGATTTTATTGGCACATCCATTCTGTCAACCCTTGTTCAGTTGTTGTCCCTTAAACTAATGGAATAAATGCTACAGTATTTCAGTAAATGTACATTAGAAACAACCTTCAGCGCCTCAAAGGGAGCAAACAATGAAATCAGTTTACAGAATTCTTCCAAAAGGAGATTCATGCAAAAGAGGCAGACGACGTAGGACCTGAACTACAGTTTTATCATCCAAGCATTTACTTACCTCAATTTTTTTTCTCCTTTCGAGAACTCCCATTCTCAAAAGATTAGGCACTTTTCACTATGAGTTTTTTACATCCGCGACTGAATCGGATCACAAGAGGGATGGTCAGTGATCCCAGTTGTCGTAGATCTTCTGAAACTATGATCTCATCTTCTTCCTTCATTTGGTGAGCGCTTCTCTAAAAGTAACGAAAGTTCCGTAAAAATATCATACACAATCTTTCAATTACTTATCAAAGTTAACTCAATAAACTAAGAAGCTACAATACCGCTCATACTTCTGAAAAAAAA